TCATTAACTGTCTCAAGGACACTGGCTGAATTCATCTTTTAATGACTATCTCAAAAATCTAGCTTTTCAAAAGTGAAATGTAAATGCAGAGAACTATACAGTTAACCCCCTCGCTTCCAGCACCTGGGTAAGAAGATGATGGAGGATGGGGTTTTCCACCTGGCCTTTGAGTGAAGCCATGTGGACCTTTGGTGTTCTGGTGTGTGACATGCCAGCCTGTCCTGAGGCCTGTGCAGATGTGGGGCCGCTGAAGCAGTCACTGGAGATGCTGAAGAGCAGGACAATCCATGGGCCTGATGCAGGAGGTGCTGAGGGCTGCCTCCATCCAACAACCCAGGGTCAATCTTAGAGGTCAGGTGCTGCTCCTCGACACTTCAACAACCAACATTTTGGGGTCGTGAGGTGAGGAAATGAGCACTGACAAGAGCAGGTGTGCCTCCTTCGCATCCACTGCATGGCTTGCAGGTATGTGTATTTTCTCTGCTTCTTCTCTGATTGTATTTTCCCCATAAATAGCAGCACTAGAATTATTTTGGTACAATATTTAATCATTCAAAAGAAAACCACTGAATGATGTGGTATTTCACTTGGATATAATCCAACAAATACACTCTTTTTTTTTTTCTTTTTTTCTAATATGTGAGTATTAGTGAAGCTAGAATGCCTCCAAGGCTTCCTGGATTGCTTTTTTTTGTTCTGAAACAAAGGCCTCAACAAGCTTGTATGATGTTGTCTGTGTACGCTCATGCACAGAAACGCATTGTGGTGGAGTGCTTATTGAAGGAAACACAGTTACACCAGAAAGGCTAAAATATGACACTGACTGTGGGGTCTGCAGAAACCTCCAAAGGGCTCTGAGGGCTGCTCTAAAGGCATGGCCCAGAACCAGCAGAACGCGGTGCATTGCACCGGGCCGCTGTGCCTTATGCCTTGTGAAAGGGCATGGAGAGAGGGAGGGCTGGAGAACAGCAGGGGTCAAAGGAATTGTGAGGAACGGGTGGGCGTTTAGAGAAGAAGGAAGATCCAAGGGCAAGGATGTTACAAATGAAGAGATTTCAATTTCAAAGAAAGCCGCAAAAATAAAAAATGTAGGAAGCCAACGTGGAAATTCTGTTCGCGCACGGGATGATTGATTTGTGAGCCATTCCCAGCACTGCGGCTGTATACTTACCCCTTCCGATGGCTCATTTGAATTTCATAGCATTTATTTTGATCCGAGCAGTGTATCACCCCGTAACGGTGTTGCTGAAATTGTATTTCAAGGCGATCGGACCTTGATTCTGCAGGGTCAGTGTGGCTCAATCCACTTAGCGCAGCACCACAGCTCGTGAGGATGTCGTTAAGGATGTGCCAGCACTTCCATTACACACCCCATTTTCAAGGGTTTAAGCTTGCAGAGTCCTTTAGCAATATACTATACCGGCAGCAGCGCTGGGGGAAAAATCAATATTATAATTCAAAAAGTAAGTAAAAAGTACCCTTTGCTAATGAAAGCAAGGACAGATGTGACTGCTGGAAGAAAACGAATAGCGCCTAAGCAACAGGCAAAGCATATACTAATTCAAACCTATTCACATTTAAAAATAGCACACCTAAATTTAACAGGATTGAAGCAGATGGAGGTAATACATAAAAACATTAACATTTCTGCAGCCTGGATATTCACAACAGCAAAGAAACAGGCTCAGAGATCGCTCCCTGCTTTGCATCCCTTTAAATGCTAATGGCAGCTGAATGGATGCACTTGGAGAGGAACTTGGAGTCTCCAAAGGAGTTACATTACTTGCTTAAATGTATATGGATTTATTTTTCTCTGGAGAAAGCTGTTAGGTCTGCTCTTAGATAAAAACAACACAAAGCCTTCTGGTGGGGTGTTATTATGTAGAATATGTTGCTCTGTTTAAACCATTATCCCATTAGGATTTGAAGCACCTAAAGCCCTGGAGACAGGGAGAGTGAAATCAGTGGCATTCAAGCATTTGCGTGAGAAACAGTTTTGGTGGGGAAGGAAAATTTGGCATCAAGCAGCTTTGAATGTTATTGTTGAGAAAGTAAATAAACACTGGGTATATATAAATTATTTAGAGAGTGTCCTAAAGATGCCATCCTTCCCGTGGGAAATGGGGAAGGAAAATAACAGAGTAAATTTCCATAGGAAAACTAACTCCCCATCAAACAAGCAGCATGCCTTGGATTTTCATTTATCACTTAGGTGCAACATGCATTACACTAGAGCAATTATATGCTAGTTTTGTCAAGTGTGTTTGTGTTGCTTTCTTTAGTCCCATAAGGATGGGCTGAGAGTGAAAACAGAAACTCATTTCAGGGAGCCACATCCAAACTTCCTTGAAAGCAAAGGGAGTTGGCCTCTGGTACCAAAGTCTGCCAGAGTGCATTTTGGGGACCTTCAGCCATTGCCTTGCTTTGAGCACCTTGTTCCACAACTCTGACTACAGATGTGCTCTGCAAGGCAGACTCCAGCTCGCAGGCAAATACATGGCTTCAGGGGCTGCTGCAGCAACGTAGGCGAGCAGACTGACTTATTCTCACCACCCCTGCCCTGGCAGCTCAAATAAATCTTGAAGCAGCATTTCTTTGAGGTGTGTGTGTAGCCTCATTGCCTTGTGTGAATGAGAACAGGCGAATTCCCACTCAGACTGAAGAGCCTTTTCAGCAAACTGGAATTTCTTTCACATAAATGTGCATCACAGCCATCCTGCTTCCAGAGTCTCCACTGGACCTGTGCAGCATGCACGCTGTACTTGGCTTCTGCACAGCACCTATCTGCAAAGGAGTGGGCTTTCACATCAGCAGCCACTATAGCACAGACCTGGTGGCCTTTGGAAGCACTGCTGCACAAGCTGATGTCCAACTCATTGCTTCTTAAGTGGGATCTGTTGTTTTTCCTGGATAGTGACAGGGGTTCAGGAGACCAAGACACAGCATAGCTCTTTTAAGAGGGTAGGTTTAGAATCATAGAATCATAGACTCACGGATTGTGGGTTGAAAAGGACCACAATGAACACGTAGTTTCAACTCCCCTGCTGTGTGCAGGGTCACCAACCACCAGACCAGGCTGTCCAGAGCCACATCCAGCCTGGCCTTGAATGCCTCCAGGGATGGGGCATCCACAGCCTGCTTGGGCAACCTGTTCCAGTGCGTCACCACCCTCTGTGTGAAAAACCTCCTCCTAATATCCAACCTAAACCTCCACTGTCTCAGTTTAAGACCTCCCCCCTTGTTCTATCACTATCCATCCTTGTAAACAGCTGTTCCCCCTCCTGTTTATATGCTCCCATCAAGTATTGGAGGGTCACGATGAGGTCTCCCTGGAGCATTCCCTTCTCCAAGCTAAACAATCCCAGTGCTCTCAATCTTTCTTCATAGGAGAGGTGCTCCAGCCCTCTGATCATCTTAGTGGCCCTCCTCTGGACCCAATCCAAGAGCTCTGCATCTTTCTTGTACTGGGGGCTCCAGGCCTGGATGCAGTACTGCAGATGGGGCTTAGATTAGATATAAGGAAAAAATCTGTTACAGTGAAAGTGATGAGGCACTGGAACAGGTTGCCTAGAGATGTGGTTGATGCCCCATCCCTGGAGACTTTCAAGGTGAGGCTGCATCAGGCCCTGGGCAACCTGATCTAGCTGTGGTGACCCTGTTCATTGCAGAGGAGTTGGACTGGACAGCTTTTAAGGTCCCTTCTAACTCTAAGGATTCTAGGATTCTAATCGTGGCCTTCTACAATAATTTTTAATCAAACATTTTGAATTCAATCCCTGTTGCAACAAGGACAGCAAAACAAACCAAATTTATTTCCCAAATTCCACTTCTATGTGCTCACAATCTGTTACACATTAGTGGGACTATGTGTATGTAATTATTATTCTTTTCTTTAGAAAAATTAATGGAGACGAAAAGGAAACCTAAACAAATGTTTCTTTAAAGAGAACCTGACATTTCTCCTTTTGCCAGGAGTTAATTAGCCAAGGGGTTAAAAATCCTTTTATTTAATACTGCAAAAGTGAAGAAAAATATGCAAATAAGTCCCAACAAAGCATAGTATGAAAATGGAAGAAATATCCACCCGCCACCAATTAAGATGATTTTTTTCACAAGAAAATGATGGTTGATTTTACTAATTTTACCCTTGTGGTAATTGTCACTAATCTTCAGCATATTGTATGTGTCTTGCTCTTATGAATCCCATATCCCCTTGTACCATAAATATTTCATAAAATATTCAAAACCAGTCCACAGCCAAGTAATAACAAATGTCAAATGACACATTAGGAAGATTCATAGCGATTTTAAGTATGAATTTTATATAAAAGCCTAACTCATTTATTGTGGTCAGCATTAAGGATTGATTTCAACAAAGAAATGCTCCGCAATTAGTATCAGCACCTTTATTGCCAGCTTGCTATTAAAGCAGAATTAATAGATTAGCCAGAGCTCTTGGTAGAGGACTGCACACGCTGCTCTGCTCAGTTGTGTTGGGATCTTGATCTCCAAAGGCCTCATTCAGGACCGCTCTAGCATACGTGAAGATGTCTGTTGAGTTTTATATCCTTTTACATCTTTAATTAGTTTTCAGTGTCTCCTTTTCCTGCAGCAGTTTTTGCCAGTGATTCCTTCACTAACATCAGCTCAAAACCTTTTTCCCTCGTTCTTTCTCTATAAAAATTTCAGGCTTTGTTGGTTAAAGCACAGTTTCAGACTTCCTTACTTTTATCAGCTAGGAAAACATAAAGCACTAGGAAAAACCAGACTTACTCTTCCCCTTCTGTGTGAGTTTATTGAACTTGGCTGGTGGTAATCAGCCCAAAGTAGGGTGGGTGTCTGCAAGCAGGTGCATGCTCAGGTGGAATGGAGCCCATGTGTATGGCATGATCACTAACAACTCACCTGAGGAGTGAGGAAACAGCCCATAAAAGTGCTTCTCAGAGATAGTTGGGCCCTCTGAAATGAGGTGTTGTTTGAGGCCTGGGTTGGGAGTGGGATGAGAAAGCTTGTGGTGGCACCTCGTTGGCTGTGTGCTGTATCTCTCATGGTTAGGTTCTTTGGGGTGCACTGATTGCTAGTATGATGACTGAATGAGGGTTAAGTGATAGCTGGAGTAAAGCTAGAAGGTGCTGATTGTGTGTCAGGCTTTGTCCCTGTTTTCCTGCTGTGCTTTAGATCAGTTCTTGATAGCATTTCTATTGAGGCATCACTTGATGTAGTTGAGTACAGAGAGATGGGCAGCATGCTGTTGGGTTTTGAAACTGAGCTCTCTGAGCAAGGTAGGTGATAGTTACTCTAGCTGCATCCCTGAACTGTAAGAGTTTGCCCATGTTATGGGGGGGGGGGGGGGGGTGCACTGCAGGAGGTTCTCATAACTGATTTGACTTTATTCAGAGGTGTGTATCTACTATATATTTCACTTAAAAAATATTTACTCTCAGTACTAGAAAGCAGCCCTTGATTTACAAACGTTGGTTGAAGTTATCTTTGTGGTTATAAATCAGGATGAAAACAGATAATGAGTTTATGGTAGGGGGAAGTGGAGGTGCTATGTTACTCTGGATAGGATGGCTTGTCCCCTTAGTGACCTCTCCTTTGCCTCTTTGGTTCTTAATTCTCTGTGTTTAATATTGCACTTACTTATTTCATGATTAAACAAACCCAAAATACTGGGAATGTTAAGAATTTTCTTCTGTGTTTTATGGAAGCTACATACTTATAAGCTTCAGTTGAACTTCTCGCGTGCGGTCTGCGTGCGGTCTGCGTGCGGTCTGCGTGCGGTCTGCG